GAGCAGCCACTGGGTTAGTCCCCTAATCTTCTGTGGGCATGGTGTCCGTCAGAGTAGCACAGAGCCCTGCGGGGAGTGGCAGGCATGCCAGGTGCGCTCCTCCATGCTAGCAGCACTCCTGCTGGGCAGCTGTATGGCAGCAGTGGCCTTTGGGTCTGGCCTGAGCGACTGTGTGTTGGGCTGGGATTCTGGTCAGCTGATGGGAGTATGCCTGCTCCCTCTGGCTCCACTGCAGGTGTGCACGGGGCTCTTCTGCACAGGCCTCTACTGTGCTCCTCTGGCTTCACTGCCGCCGGTGCATGCGAGCCGCACCCAGGCTGTTCGGTTGCACCACTGCGGGCTAGCACAAGCCTCTCCTGTGGTGCCTGAATCTGCTCCTGGTCCCTTCCGGCACAGCCGTCTCCGGCATGCACTGCCACTCTCCCACTACTGGGCTGGTGTGTTGGGGTCCGTGCCAGTTGGAGGAATGAGTCGCAGGCTGCTTAGTGCCATGAGAGGCTTCAGAGCTGCACTGCCTCCCCGGGATTTAGAGTGCCTAAATTTCCCTGGTATTCCCAGCTGCCTGGACAACTTCGTCCAGCTATGGGGTCCCTGTCTCTTTAAGACTTGCAGAAAGCACTCGCTTTTGTTTTGTCTCAGGGGTGCTGGTTGCGGGGACCTGCCCACAGGTTTTGCTCTTCCCTTTCTCTAATATCCAGCACCCTGTGCACCTTGTGTCTGAGTTCCAGGTGTGGATTTCTAGAGCTGGTTGTTTAGCAGTTCTGGGCTTTCACTCCCTCCCCTTTCCAACTCCTTTCTTCCTGCCAGGTATTGGGGTGGGGGAGTGTTTGGGTGCCACCTGGCCTTGGCTTGTGTCTTACCCCCTTCATGTGATGTTGAGTTCTCACAGATGTAGATGTATCCTCGCTGTTGTACTGCATCCACTGGCATCTCTTTTAGGAATAGTTGTATTTATTGTATTTTCATAAATATATGTGTTTTGGGGAGGAGATTTCCTCTGAAATACTCATGCCACCATCTTCCCATGATTCCCCTGGTAGCCAGTTAATTTTTATAATGCTGTCAGTACTCAATGTATTTCTATGCTATATTAGGTGAGTTCATAGATTTTCTATCATCATGGTAGATTTTCATATGTACACATTCATGTATATACATGTATATTATTTTAATCCCTTTAATATTTCATTCCTCAAAGTATGTTTTCATTTGATACTGATATTTGAAAAGATTCCTCCTGATTAGAGTTTTACTGATTGATTTTATTTCCTTAAATTATTTCTGATATTTTTCATTTTAGGTTGATTCTTCAGGTCACATATAACTGATTTCTGTGCTTTTATGTAAATCTAGTCATTACATTTTTAATAGATGTAGTGTATTCACTTTTACTTAGTTTTGCTGGCTTGCTGCTAATGTAGGAAAGCCTTAGCAGAGGCAGCTAGGAGATTGGGCTATCCTCTGTTTCTCCAGTATGTTAGCTATGTTCTCTTGGTCACAGAGGAGTAAAGAAGGGAAGCACATCACACATGAGCTTCATGAGCCTCTGCTTGTGTCTGATTTGCTACTATCCAGAAGGCAACAGTATGTCAGATGGCTAAGCTCAAGAGTTAGAGAGCCCTGCAAGCTACATGACAGAGGAAGGTTGAACAGGGATGTATGAAGAATCAAGACCGTTTACTCCCAGTTTTCCACACTGTTTTTCTTGTTTTGGAGGAATGTCTTCTGTCTTTATTTCACTCATTTATCTTTATCTCTGCATGAACACAGTCATGTATGTTCAGCATTTCACTCTTCTGACACAAAACAAATCTTAGCCCATATTAATTACAAATACAAAATTCTCTATCTTGTGACATTTAAAAAATTTCCTTTCTTAATTTTGAATATAAAAAATACATTGTTTTAATAACTAATATTTAAACATGAAGGCACATTTTTATTAATTCCTATACTCATAATTACTACACCATATACTTGCTTTGATTTTCTTCTTATTTAAGTCTGTTTCCAAAAGTTCTTTTATAAGCATTAGAGGAGTCATAAATGAATTATTAAATAAAGTTGTAAAGATACTGTCCCTCACTACTTTTTCATTTGTTGAGAATTAGCACACATGCAGGAACATGTATGCACTCTAGTAACCATGCCCTGGGTTAAGATATAGAAACTTCCCAGCGTAGTAGCTTTCTCTTGTTCTTCCCAGTCTGTACACACCCTGCAAAGAGCTGATCTCAGTTCTGACTTCTGTCCCTGTGGTTAGTTTTGTCTACTTTTGAATTCCAAATGAACAGAAACACAAAGCATATGTTCTTTCATGTCTTTGGTGTTCAACTTTGTAGTAATTCTTAGAACAGGTTGAGTGAGTCTCACCATTTTATTATTCTAAATTCACTGTACTTGATTGAGCAAGTAGTATAATGATGATCTCTAATCTGCCAGTGTGGGCAAACCTGGTAGCAAACTTCTACTCTGAAGAATCTTTAAAATGCTGAAGAGTTGGTGGTGTTGGCTTCTCAGGAGATGGACAAGGAGACAAGTGAAAGAATACCTAGCTCTGCACCCATGACCCAGGGCGTCCACCCACCATGCACTTAGTCCCAGGCTGTGCCTGGTCGTCCGGTCTGGGTGAAATAGCACTGAGAGAAGAAAAACTAATTTCAGAAGAAGGAAATTTAATCAAGCTTCTGCATGTTGAATGCTGGGGCTCTCTACCTCTCATCATCTACCTGGCTTCTAGAGTTCTGGTAGACCTCTTGTCTCCAGACATGAAAGGGTAAGAATCTTCTTGCCTATTTATTGTGTTAATTTTCATTTCTGCAGTATGGTTGTAGTTTTATCTATTTGACTCTTCTCCTAAAATCAGGGTTAGTGCATGAGAACCTGGGCTGATTCAGTAAGTACCTTACACATCTGTTGGCCATTGGCATTTATTTTCTCATGATTTCTTGTTTGTCTTTTCTTCTCATTTGTCTGTTGGGTGATTTTAAAAATTCCAGATTGTTTTGTAGGATTTCTTTGCACATAAATAATTTACTCTTTGGTGTCTTATGTGAATTTCAAATAAATCTCCCTGTTTGTTATTTATGGTACCTTAAAAAAAAAGGTAGGGTTATCTGTATTACTTGCTAATATTTTATGAAAATGATAATTTTGTCATTTTTCTCACTGTACTGTTTTTGTATGTCAAACTGTAACACCTATGTGTAAAGAGACTTTCATATTTGTAGTGTGATTTCTACCTACCAGGCTAAGATACAGGATTATGTGATAAGCACTGATTAACACTCCTTTTTTTGTGGAAGGTCACATGGGAACAAAGGACTCCTTGGCAATTACTTCTCTTCAAATAAGTCCCCTTTTTACTCAGCTGCAATTTTCTCTTTCACCTCCAGACTGTGGGAGAAACAGTGAACTAGGGCTTTAGTAATGTGTGGTCTTCTCATTTTTACATCTTCTCTTCCTTCTTTTCTCTTTCTTTTTCCTTGCCTTTTGATCCTTGTATTGTCCATCCTCTGAACCAGAGGTGCTGAGGTCTCTTACCTGAAATCAAATCAAGAGGTGACTCATTATTAATAATTTACAAATCTCTTCTACCTCAGTTCCTTTCCATAGGAAACATAAATAATACTGGTGAATTTTTTTTTCACTATTTACTGCTTGATATCTGAGTGGCACTTCTCAGGAAGTGGAAGTTTAGGAATAAACTCCATTGATTTACATTATTCAGTCAGAAGCTAACTTAATTACGATTTTCCTTTCTGTGTGGGTAAAGCCAGCTGTTCTCTTCTAGGAGGGAGGTGGGCAAGCTGAGTGACCTGTGCGCCCACTACTGCACGTCAGCTGAGTGTGTCAGCGTCAGTATCGAGGAGAGTGAAAAGGCTGTAACCAAGGCACTGAAGGAGACTAAGACATCAGAAGGAGAACTGCTTGTTTTATCAAAAACGGTGAGTTTTCACATTGAGAAATTGTAAAAAACACTCATTTTAGTTTTGAGCCATGCTATTTAGTCTTTTTCTCTGTCAGTAATTAAATAGCCATTAGCCAGGATTACCAGAATTTCAGCAGCTTCACACAGCACCCATTCACTCTCTCAGAGCTTCTCTGGGTCACGGCTCCCTCGGTTCCTCTGCCCCAGGTTTTCCAAGGCTGAATTGGGGTGTCAGAGGCCTGCGTTTCCTTCTGGAGGCTCCAGGATGAACATGCTTTTGTGCTCATTCCATTTTGGTGAGGTCAAGTTCCTGTGATTTCATAACTGAGGGGTCATGAGCCTGGGATTGTTCTTAGTCTGTAGAGACTGCCTGCGCCCCATGGCTCGTGGTCCCCTTCGTCCTTGAGTCGGGAGCTGCGGGCCAAGTCCTCTCATGCTTGCTGTCACTCTCTCTTTCTCTTACGACCCATCTTCCTTGCCCTCCTCTGCTGTCATATCCCATTCACTGGATAAAAGGAAATAATTAAATCAAAAAGGAAGTAATAGTATCATAAAAGACAGTAATATACACATTCCTGTACCAATTTGCATACCTAATTAGAGTTAAAACTGTTTTTTTGGGTTTTTTTTGCCACTTTCAATTAGAAGGCTCTTTATATCTCCTTAGGTTTTTTAAAGTTAATCCATGATTGAGTGAGACTGAGCATATTTGAATGGCTTTTTGGGGGTCATTTTTATTTCTTTTATTTTGTGAAAAACCTGCTCATAGTTTTCCCCCCTATGTTGAGTTATTGTTTTTTTATTGATTTGCATAGTATTTGTTGTTTATTATAGAAAATAAATATTTTAAATATGTTAAAAATATTTTTACTGTCTTTCATTTCTTTATCTTAACTTCTGATAAAGACAAACTTCAATTTTAATATATTGAATGTTGTAAATATTTTCTTTTGAGCTTTGTGCTTTTCTAAAACTTAAATTTTTTTCCCTACCTTGTAAAAGTAAAAAACAAATTCTCTGTTTTATTTTAAATGTTTTGAAATTTTGTTTTTCATATTTACATGGTGCTTTTAGGTGAAGCTTTAAAATATTTAAAGTTAAGTTTTTTTCACATTGTATTTTTTATTTGCAAGTTTGAAAGTAATTAACTATCTCTAGAATTTTAGGAATGAATATTTTACTTGCCGATGTGAAGCATGAACAATATGAAATTCATATATAGGTATGGTATGAAGGAAGGTTCCAAATACATTATTTATATAGAAAATGCATTGTTACAATATAACTTACTGAATTTATGTACATATGAATAGTCAGTGACATCTCTGTCACATAAAGGCTTCCATATTTGTGTCGATCTCCTTTTCTGTTCTCTTTTTAATTTGGTCTATTTAACTGTCTTTACCTCAGTATTTAATCTACACATGTAAACTTCTGTGGAGGGTTCTGATTGGCTGTTACGGTGAATCTCCCAGTCTTGTGTTTCCTTATTAGTTTTCAGTTATTTTTGACCTTTGCCCTCCCACATAAATTTATGTATTGTTTATTTCCTTCAGAAATTTTATTGGAATTATGATGGGTATCATATTCATTTAAGGATTATATGATGGAGAAATGAAATCTTCATGATGGGGATCCCTACACATGAAAATGATCTGCATCTCAGTTTACTTGGGTAGTTTTTCTACATTGGGTCTTAACCATTTCCCTTAGAACTTTGTGGAAGGCACACTCTCCCTGCAAATTCAGCCTGTGATCAATCTTACACAAATTAACCCTTATATCTCTACTGAATTTTAAAGGTATTTAAAAAAACTGATTTTTAATATAATTCTGATTTATTCATAAAGGTAGTCTACATGGAAGATATTTAAAATTTGGTAAGGCCTAATTTGTGTCCTACGATGTGGGTAATGTACATAAATACCTTATTTGAGAAAAATGTTTTCTATAATGGGGGATACCATTCTGAATGGGTTCGCTGGTGAATTGTGCTGTGTTATTCAAACCTTTCATAGTTCTGACTTATTTTCTGACTGACATGTCAGTCACTGTGGGAGGCTGAATTGAAATATCTCAGTGTGACAGCGGGCTTCCTTATTATTTTTGCATTTTTCCCTGTTGATATTTTTGCCTTATATAACTTGACATTGTGTTTTTAGTTGACACAAAGTTTAGAATATTAGAATAATTTTTTCTTATGATATATTTTATTTTTACATGCTTAAGTTACAATAAATTATTAAAATTTTTTAAATCGAATTTCACTTACTGGGTATCTTTAATTTCTTCCTGGGCAGTTTAAGGACCTTATGATCCTTTCCTGGCTTATATATTCTATTTTCCATCATGTTGTACCTGTCTTATTTAATAGTCTCTGTATTAACATAATTTCTTACTAATTTACATAATAAATGTTTGATTTCATTTGTTCCCAGTTTAACATTTTGTACATAGCTCTGTTTATCAGACATTCCTAACAAGCATTATTTTTTCCTTATTACTGAAGTATATCTTTTACAGCCTTCTTTAGTGAGCTAGACTTGAGATTCTCAAAATTTTCTTTCCCTGAAAATTTCTTTATTTTGCTCTCATTCATGCTATATAGGGACTATGTACCCAGTGTAATATGGGAGTGACTTACACCACTGCATAGGCAATATGGAAGAATCCAGAAATAGGCAGGGCTGAAAACGCTAAACTGAAACAGCAAAAGGGATGAGATGGGGTCAATGAGGTAGAAGAAACTGACTCTTGAGTAGAGAGTCATAGGAGTCTCTGCAGTTTGCTGTTGCTTTGCTGTCTAGCTGCTCTCTTGCTACCCTCTTCCCTCTCTGTTCACTAGCTGCCTGGAAAACTGTCAGGACTCCAGAATGTGTCATGTGCTTTCTTCCTTGCAGCTTTCTGTAAATTCTGTTCCCTCTGATTATAATGTCTGTGTTCAACTCTGCTTATTCTTGCAGTCCTGCTATTTTCTGGCTGAATCCTCTCATTTTCAACTTTACCTTGAAGGAAAATAATTGGTGAAGTAGTTTCTTCACATTCTTCTGTCTGCTTTGAACTCTTAATTAAATGCTGTGTTTACCTCCTTATGGGTACTTAACACACAACTCTACTGAAATCTACGATTGTTTGTCTACTTCATTTTAGACTACATGGTTTTTAAGGGCAGAAGATTGGTGATTTTTGTTTAATCCAAGTAACTGGTACAATGTTTGCCCCATGTTAAGCACTTAAGAAAAGCCATATTAAGCTTGTTGAAAAGAGTAAATTAACCAGTGAAGAAAAGAGAGAGAGGGAAGAAGGGAAGTATAAATGGAGAAGAAGAACCTTCACTTGGTGAGCCTGGAAAGAACTTGCTGAGGTGGAGCGTGGAGTGTGGACATCCAAATAATCCTCAGTGACTTAAAAGAGCACATTAGCTTTCCTATGTATGATTTCTTCCCAGGTAACTACTATAAGCATCAGGGCAGCATAGCACAAATAGGAGAATTTTTGAAAAAATATTAGTATTGTCAAATAGGTATGACTCACTTTTCTAATCATGATGTAATTTCCCATCTCTAAAAATATAAGTATTAACCCAATTTTCAAAGGAAAAATTCATTCACTAAACCTACAATCACTTTTCTATTTACTTGATCATTTCTACAATGGCAAGTCTAGTCCTCTGTAACAATATGTTACTTTTTGATGAGATATTGTTAAAGTATTTATAATATTAGTAGTATTTTTCAATTACAGAAATCATTTGGGGACTATCATACTTCCTAGGGAAGATGAGAACATGATGAAGGTTAGATATATTAATTTTTAATGCATTTTGCTTATTATAAAAGTCTTTAAGCTAGATTTTCAAAGAATGCGTGTTAAACACTCAATTAAAAGCAATGATGTGCATCATTTTCATGAATTTATTTTTTGGTGTGCAATTGAAACTTCCAGTTCAAGAAGAAAGTAAAGGATTTGTGCCGCCTAATTGCACATACAACCTAACTGATTTTTTAAAGCTTGGAGGCATATCATGCTTCCAGTTTAGAGTCTTTACCTCATTAATGTAACTTTTATCTAATTTGTGTTTTCATTGTATCTATGAAAACACATTTTTGCTTCCCATTTCTAGAAAAAACAGCTTCTGTAAACCAGAAAATATCCTGGAATTGGCTACTTTAGAAATATTGTCAAGATCAAATTCTTTTTAAATGCAAAAGTACAGATTTTTCTATAAATTCTTTCATCATCTTTTCTTTGAAATCTACTTCTACAGTTCAGGAATTTTTTTGGAGTATGATTTCATTATCTGAAACTTTTAGTTTCTTGAGATACTAAAAAAAATCCATCTACATTTCATTTTATTCAGATATTTAATAAGATAAAAAATGACTTCTAAAGATTTAAAATCCTTTGTGATTTTCATATTTTATTAAACAATGACAGGCACACGGAATTATTTTTTATAGTTCAGTTTGCAGGTAAAAGTTATAAATAAGTGAACTCCTTTTGTATATGTGCTGATGTTTTCACATTTTTGGGATGTTGTTTTTGTTATAAATTTAATGTTTACTGCTTATCTATTGGTCTATATACTATACAGTATAAATCCACATAACTACAAGGCACCATCAAACTATACTTTCTGGTTCATATTTTTACCCTGAAGTCTTTCAAATTTAGTAATTAATTTCTTCAAAATAGATAGGCCAATAATTATTACCAAATAGGAAATCAATGTAAAGAGGCCAAGTGGTTAACTCATGGATACAAAGCTATTAAGTGTTAGAATAGACAAACTACAGTGCAATTTTTTATATTTAATTATACAGTATTCATTTGTTGTATGGATAGAAGGTAACAACATATATGAAAGTACATACTGCTAGTTTTTTATAATAAGATTCAACCTTTTATTATGTATATATTTTATTGGGTAATATGTCAGCATAAAATATTAAATGCCATCTATGAAACTGGGCTTCTTTATTTCATCTATTTAAAGAGGTGGCCTAATGTTACCTA